TCATCTACGCATCAACACTAGCTTCAATCTTAACAGACTGAAGGAGGCCCAGTTACTGCAATAATCCAGGGAAAGATGACGGTGATTTAGACATGGTGGCAGCAGTGCAAGTGGTGATGAGTGGCTATATTTTGGAGGTGAAGCTGACAGAATTTGCTGATGGATTGGATGTGAAATGTGAGAGGAAGGTGTTTGGCCTCAATGGGATGGTTGGAAGTGCCATTAAGCCAGATGGGGAAGTCTGCAGGAGGAACAGTTTGCAATAGGCGTGGGATCAGGGATTTTGGAGCTCAGTTGTGGGCTATGTTGAGTTTGAGATGTTAGCAGACATCCAAAGGACACTTGAACCTTTGGGCTTATCCTTTCCTCCAGTGAATTTTCTACAAAGACAGCTCTCCCTGAGGTAACGAGGGAAGGAGTGGGAAGGGAATCTAGGTAAATGAGGTGACATTTATGAGGCAAGTATAAGCTGAGCAAGCTGCTAAATTCTCCTTACAGAACAGGAAGCATGAAAATCTAACAGGATACACACACACTTTCATAATTTTTCGGGTACTAAGATAAATAATGTTAATAAAAATGGCAATCTTTTTTTTCAGCTATTATTTCTTTTCAAATTATTTTTTTTACATCATTGTTCATTTTTAAACAATGTTGCTTCCCCCCCACCCCCTCAGGTATAGGCCCCATAGTTTCCTTTACCAATGCACCTGTGCACCATCACCTCCGTTCCCTGCTCCTCCCTCTGGTCCCTCTCCTTCCCATGCAGTATGTCTGATTTATAATCATCCGTTTTTGCTTTGTTGTGTTTTGTGCTGTTATTTTTTGACACTGATGTCTTATTTGGTTCCCCTATATTTGTGCTATAAGTGAAACCATCCGATATTTTTCTTTTTCCTTCTGGCTTATTTCACTGAGCATAATTCCTTCTAGCTCCATCCACATTGCTGCGAATGGCATGAGTTTATCTTTTTTGATTGCTGAGTAATATTCCATTGTGTATATGTACCACATCTTCTTGATTCAGTCATCTATTTTTTGGGCATTTGGGTTGTTTCCAGGTTTTAGCTATTGTAAATAGTGCTGCAATAAACATAGGGTGCCAGGTATTCTTGTGTCCTTTGGGTAGATCCCTAAGAATGGAATTGTCAGGTTGTATGGTAGCTCCATTTTTAGTAGACTGAGGAACCTCCAGGCAGCCTTTCACAGTGGTTGGACCAGTTTGCACTCCCACCAGCAATGTAGGAGAGTTCCTTTTTCACTACATCCTGACCAACATTTGTTGTTGCTTGTTTTTTTGATATGTGCCATTCTTACTGGTGTGAGGTGGTATCTCAATGTGGTTTTAATTTGCATTTCCCTGATTATAAGGTATGTTGAACATTTTTTCATATGCCTGTTGGCCTAAAAATGGCAATTTTAATGACAAATTCCTAATCATTCAGTCAGAACTATTATTGAGCATAATTATAACTTCAAACAAAATGTGGAAAAGTTAGGAAACAAAGTTAGGAAAAGATGGTTTAGAAGATAAATCACTTCTACTATTCTCTGAGATGCCCAAGTCAAGCTGTCAAATTGTTTCTGAATGGTTAAGCCAAGTATTAAACTTTACAAACAAGTAGGACCAAATGTTGCCCAAGAACTGACACAATTCTGTTTAAGCTCCTGGGAGAACAGATATACTATTGCTATTGGCTCAACTAGTGCTGGGAGAAAAATGAGTTTCAAATTATATCATAATAGAAACACTGGAATCATCAGGCACCCCAAATAACATCCTAATGATAGAGAATGGGAAACACTCAGACACCCACATTAATTTCTAGAATGTCTTTTCTGGACTGGATGATTTCACTCCAGCACTCAGAAGAGAAAATATGACTTAATCTGGATTTCTTTTTATTTTTTTAATAAAAATTTTTTTAAATTTAAATTTATTTTTATATTCCCCATACAATTACAACCCCCTTATTTTGACCCCAATCCCTCCTAATCTGGATTTCTGAAAAGCAAATCCAAACAGCTGGTGGGTATCTAGTGATGTTTTTAGAGTCCAAGAAGAAATGAGAAAAAATAGAGAAAAAATTCATCTGGTTTTTTTTTAATTCATTGTAAGTCTATTTGATGTTTAAAAATAGTTTGATTATGAGGTTGTCTGCCTATTCCTTTTTTAGTGTTCCTTTGTGAAATAATGGTGATAGATAGATGGCTAATTTTTTTGTTTTGGTTAAAGACAACTCTCTAGATATCGCTACATTTTTGCTTTAAATTGGCAGGTCTGTGAACAGTACTTTACTCATTTGGCAAAGGCCAGCCTAAGGAAGGAGCTGTTGTTAGTGCTGAGCCAGTTGTCATGCCTTGCTCTCCAGGGCTGGCTGAGTGGGCAGGGAGCACAGTCTGTCTGTCGGCAACCCCACCTCCCTCCTCAGGCACAGCGCTCTGTTCCACCTGCCTCTACTCTCTCCTAGATGACCTCAAACAAGGCTGCAGGAGAGCTAGAGTTCCTCTTAAAAGTCTAGACACCTCTGGTGCCACCATCCTCAGGACACCGGGTCTGAGCATGGACTCTGCTACTAACCAGCTCTATTACCAGACAAGTCACACAGCACTGTTGTCAGTTCTTCTTCTAAATATGACCTGTCCCACTTACCTAAGAAGGCTGTTGTAAATAACAAATGCTATGGGAAAGTAGTTTTTAATTGACAAAATTTTTAACTGACATAATTACCTTATATGGGTCCAGGCACCACCATGAATAAAGTAGACTGAGGATAAGAAAAACATGGCAACCATGTTTTAATACCAAATGGTATCGATTTGGGGAGACAACAAGAATAGCAGAAACTATGGTAACATGGAGAAGTCTGGTACTTAAAGCTGACTGCTGCTATCCAGGGATGAGGAAAGCCCTGTGTAATCAGAGCTTCTTATTTTCCAAGAGAAATGGGACAGAGCTTCATTTTATGTATGTGAGAAAACCCTGGATTATTTAAATGTTGGCAACCCTTTCACAACTTTAAAACCTGGTGGGAGCCATCTCTGAAAGGCCTAATAGAACATGCCTGAGGGCCAGATTTGGTCCTCAGGTGCCCAACTGTAACTTCTGACTTACACACATCCTGCTGTTCCAGTGTTTAGTGGGAGATGTCGGGCTGGGGCCCCTCCAGCAATTCTGAGTGTCCTTCCAAAGACTTCACTAGAGGCTGCTGATCTGGAGATGTCCTGACAGTACTGTGAATGCCAAGATTTTCTAGAGTTCTGCATGTATCTTCACAGGTGGACATTGTAAATAATTCTTCTTGTGAAAAGTTAGCTAGGCCTGAATCTAACCCAGCAGGGTCACCATCTGGGAGTCCTCAGAAACAGTGAATTGTCAGCACTGTAAACATTTTAGGCTTCATGGAAGACACTGACTTTTTCTAAACTAATCATCCTTGCCAGTCAAGATTTGAGGTATGGGTTCAAGAACAAGGCGTTCATTTAACAACAATAACAAAAACAGTGAGGATGAAAACCGGAGGGTCATTATAATGAAAGGCCTAAAAGCAAACTGTGACTTCCCTAATAAGGCGACAACCAAAGCTGGCTCCCTGGCGGTCGAGCGCCAATACGATTAATCAGTCTGTTTTCAGTTTTCTCACGACAGCAATATTAACAGTTTGCTTTATTCTGTTTATATGGCGCTGACAGGTCTTCAGCATGTTGGGCCTACTTGCTGGAGATAAATGGTTACTCTTACACTGAGGTAAAACCAGGAGGGTAGAGAATGCCTTTTATGACTAGATAAGAACTGGATTCCCTAGCTCTTTTTTGTTTGCACATTGCCCATCAACTCCTCCCTCTTTTAATTTCTATTAAGGATATGTAAGATTAGCTGTGTCTAGCAGGTTCTTCTCACTGTTTAAACTGCTCCACTTCAGATGATGTATTCCCAGGTGAAACAAGGGAAACCTTAAATATTGCTTTTGGATAAGCTTATCCTCTAAATGTACTGTTTTGCGAATTTTGTCTTTAAAAAATTCCATATACAAGTGAGACAGGTAAGAGGTAGCTTTGGTGATAGGAATTTTAGCATATGAGCTAGGCAATGGTTATTTTTTTAGACACTGAAGAAGGCAGAGTTGATATTAAGCATGGCTTAACTGCAAGAAGTACAGCCAATCCAGAATGTCTGTTGGACATATTTCACAAAATGTGATTAAACAATCCTATTTTGATGTAAAAGATTTTAAATAACTTGAGAAAATCAGACCACCTCCCCCTCCAAAAAAAATATTTTGTAAGTGGTACACTTCCCCTGTGCCAGGCTGGAGAGAAATGGCAATCCTGAACATTAATAGCATATGTAAATATAGAAACCCCAAAACAACAACAACAAAACCCTTAAAAATCAACATGCCTCCTCTAGGATTCTGTAGGAACCACCATCTCATTCTTTGCTCCTAAGGAGCTTCCTGCTTCACTCATTTTTATCAACAACTACATGGGTATGTTTATATTGTAGATATAGGAACTGCAGGCCCTGGGCTAGCCAACTCCACATTTCTCCTGATATAGTAGCTGAAATAAGGGATTAATTCAAGGGCGATCCTTTAAAAAAGATTTTTAAAGCCAGAGACAGCATTCTAGGATTAAGAAACAATTACTGAGTGCTTACTATGTGTAAGCACCCCAGTTGTAAAAACCCATTTAACTCCATAACTGAATGCACTGAGGTAAGAACTGGTTGTGATTGAGATGTAAGATATTTGAGACAGTAGCACAATATACTGGACTAGATCTGGGCAAATCTTGAATTCCATACTTGGAATAATTTGCCTGATGTATAAGATTGGATTGGAAGGAACAGAAACCAGTTATATGCAAATGCAATAGTCCTGAAAGTCCAGCAGTGGGGCACTGGAAGTGAAAGACAGATTTCTGGAGTTACCCCAGAAACAGAAGCAATAAATCTTTTTTGATGGATTCCATTTGTTCATTCAACAACTGTTTTCCAGGGTTGCGATGGGTCAGATATTGTGCTAAGTGACAAAGGGAAGCAGGAAAAGAGAAGATGACTCCTTCAGTGGTCCCAAGTGACGCTGCAAGAGGTAACTGTCCACTAGAGATCCCTCCCCCAACCCCCTCCTTCTATGCTGACTCAGCACCTCACCTACTTCGTGCCAGCCACAGAACTACATAGTGATCATGAACAAGTCCGGGAAAGGAAAAAAAGACTAGTGTGTTTGGTCTCATAGCCATGGGAGTGCTCTTTGTAGAACTTCCATTCCTTTCCTGGTGGTCTAGCCATAAGGCCAAGTACACGGTGGTAAACCACGAGACTGCTGGAACAGCGTAGGTATTCTTAGCCATCCATATGAAGAGATGAACTCCTATTTAATTTCTAAATATGTGACCTGATTTGGCATATTTAACCAAAGCAAAACATCATTTGAGGAAAGTATCTAAGATGATTCCTATGTGTAGATTTTAATATCATCTAAAAATACAGGCTCAGGAAAAACAAACTGAGCAAAGCCAGAAGGTACTGAAAATAACAAATCTACTTTGAACATTAGAATCTTATACTTAGTATAGCTGGTAAATGAGTTTGAAACAATGCTGTTGGCTGCCAGGGAAAGCCCTCATCTTTCAAAATTGAGATTTGCCTAGGATTTATATAAGAATAAATCCTAAGCACTTTCTAGTGCTTCCTGAAAAATAGCTGGGTGATGGGATGACCACTGCTAAGGAGTATTTTGTTTTGTGGCAGATGCCTTTTCATTTTATGAGAGCTTGTCTAGATATTATGTATCCTACACTAACTACATTTATTTCTTTTTAAAATATCTTCAGATGCCTGGGGGTTATGTCCTTTTCTTTGGGTCTAAACCTAGATCTCAAATAGCAAAGTATTAGTATTTGCCAGAAGATTCTTACCCATTTAGGCTTTCCTCCCCAAACCATGACTAATGACTGTTTTTGGTCATTTCTGTCAGAAGAAGAAAACTGAAAGGTGTTTTTAGGGACGTATGAACACCACCAATAATTATTTCAAGTATAAAGCTAGTTTGTATATATCGAGAGTGAGAATTCAAACGCCAGCTGAACTGTAAAAAGAGGAGGCACACTATAACCTTGCTGTTATTTTGAGGATTTGCCTGTTCTATGAACGTCGCGATGGCTAAGCTATGGAAAAGGCTGCACCAAGGGTAACAAAAGGCAGAATCCTGGGCCTAGTGCTTTTTTTTTTTTTTTTTTTTTTTTTTTTTTTTTTATAGAGGCATGTTTTTTTTATTTATTTATTTATTATATTTGTTTGTTTTTTTTTTTGTTTATACATGCACTGGGTACAGTCAGAAGCGCGGGAGGGTGAGAGAATTCACCAGAGCCAGAGCGGGGAGCAGAGCAGGCAGAAGGACCGAAGCACACTGCTGAGGGGAGCAGCGGGTGGCAGGAGAGGTCTGCGCACCATGTGGGATCCTCTTCCGGGGCCGGGGAGCAGCCGGGGATCGAACCGGCGCCACGGAGGCTGTGGGCAGCTTCGCAACCCAGCGCTCAACCGCTGCGCCACCGGGGATGGGCCTAGTGCTTTTTAATTCCAATTCTACCACCTGCATCATTTATCAAGTTTGTTTCTGTATGGAGAGTAAGATTTTCTACCTACTTATTTCCCATTGGAAATGTTTTAAAACTATAAGCATCTTTGAAATATTTAATTTTTTAAAATGACAAACAGGAATTGAATTCAGGAAAAAGTATAAACACTGCATGAGTGATCAGTGAGGGCACTGCTATGATGCCATCTCAGGAAAACCTGTGAGAGAAGTCCTCACTGTTGTGGGAACTCAACCCACGGTTAAAAACCTTCTCTTACACTGAGATATTATTTTCATTTTGTTTGGCTTAACCAGATACAGGACCTTGGTGGAAAAAGTCAAAGATGAGCCCAGAGGGAGAGCCACAGAATTCGAAACAGCCGGCCTTGGAAAAGCCCTCGTAGACCATCTAACCACGCTCCCAGGGCAGGAAAGAAAAACAAACTGGAGCCCACTGACATTTATGACTCTTACCTGCGGCGCAGATCCTCAGCCACTGCTGCCCGGCAGCTGAACAAATAGGCCCGAAGCGACTTCAGCCGCTGCCGCAGCCGCACCACCGCAGCCAGCGGCTCCGCATGGAGGTACAGCATGGGGTTCTCCTGCTGGATGTCAATCAGGGGCTCTTCGTACACGTACTCCAGAAACTCTTTGGCCTGCTTAGACACCTGCAAAATAAACTTCCTCAATCAGTTCTGGTGAATTAGTCAGCCTCCCAAAAACTAGGAACCATAGCTTAAGTATCAAAGTAGTATTTTCTGAACACAGTCAAATGAGAAAACTGATAATTCAAATATAGATTCGGCCTTCTCTTTTAGAGCTTCAACAGGTAAAAGTATTCTGAGCACTGAATGGAAGTCATTAATTCTGTTTCTTGATTATGGTGGTGATTATATAAATCTGCAAGAGAGGTAAAATGACACAGAACTTTTCAGATCAGGTATACCAATTGTCAACTTACCATTCGTTATTTTGTACGATATAGTTATTACCTATGCTGTAATCTCAGGTGGGGGAATCTGGATGAAAGACAGCCAGGTATTCTCTGCTAACTATGCAGCTTCTTGTATAAATGAAGTAGAAAAAGAATTAGTTAAGATTTCCTTACAGCACTTAATATTGTTTGATTTAAAATCAATTCCCTGATTTTAAACACTACATGTATATGTGCATTTGTTTGTATATTCTGTAACATTTTTTTTGATAAATAGCCACTTAAATAAAAGGTAAGATATCTACATATTACAAAGTTCTAAAGGAATACAGGATATCTTGAATAATCTGACTGCAGAAAAAACAGGGTCAAATATACACTTTGGGCAGAAAGGAGTAGCTTTTATCAAAACAACTTTGAGCTTGAGCCAACTCTCATCAACAAGTCCATCTAACTCTATGTTCACTTAGGGTTGTAAATGACAAGACCATGAAAGTAGATCTTAAAATGCCATGGTTATGAAAAGAAATAGTGCATTGGAAACAATGCATCCAAGATATACAGGGAATAGCTTAAATAATACATGAAGGTAATTTTTTGGAATCTTTACTGATACTGAGATGTGGATTGGCTAGTGAGAGTTGGCTCAGTTTCTATTTATGGAAAGCAAAACCTCTCCCACCAAAATCTCTCTAGCACTGGGAATAAGTTCAGGAATTCAACAAAAACAAAACAGCTTATTAAAAAGAAAACTGAAAACCACTTATTGACTATCAATGAAGATAGTCTCTACCCTCAAGGGATTCATTTAGCATGAGACAAATATCTAAAGCAAAAGATACATGTTGCACATAAACTATCTACAAAAGAAGTATAGATGAGATTCACTAGTAGTTAATGGGGAGGAAGCAACCATCCTGGGGGTCAGGGGGTTAGGGAAGGCATGGCAAAGCACATAATACTGGCTGAAAATCTAAACAGAAATTCACTTGTTGGGAGAGAGTATAGTTAAGCACACAACCATGAGAACACATCAATATGTATACATGTGCTAATTAAATGTATGACAATTATAGGTTGATTAAAAATTTCTTATACATGTTTATGAAATTCAGCATTTTCTTGTAAAATGCATACAAAAGTTCATGTTTCATTTTTGAGGTAGCTGTTATATCATGGGATCCACTAGGGTCCTATGGAGTTAGTGAAGTTATATACTTAATGTGAATCCACCTAGAGTTAGCCATAGACTTTGACGATTTAACCAGCTTGGAAATAACACTCTAAAGGGCTAAATTATGCCTCCCTGTGAGGTTCCACTCAGGCATGACAGACACTGTAGCCAGCAATAAGCATTCAGTGGAGAATAAAACAGGTTTGGCCCTGTCCTTAGGTGGCTTGTATTCTGTGGGGAAAGACAGAATTGGACTTACAAAATATTTTATCATGGTTAAATATTACATTTCTTAAGTGAGGAAACTGCGAATGGTATTCTGGGTAATGAAGCACAATCCACTTGAAACTGTTGCTGAAAAATGATGTATAGTACAATTCAATTAGTCTTCTGGCTCTACTGAGCAGTGTTTATACTGAGTCAGGCCCTGCTGAATTAGGTTAACAATGCTACCTTTTAGTAGGTGAACAGAAGGACAAAGGGCACTGGCCAAGCTCCCAGGCCTTAAAAGGATTCTCTCTTCAGGTGGTACTTAAGCCCAAAAGGGGAAAAAACATCTTTTAGAGAGACAGTAAAAGCAGTGAGACAAATGGGACCCCACTACTAACAGCAATCCTAAACTGAAATTGCTAAAAACAAAACAGCTAGTTTCAGTAACATCTAAGGTTCCATTTCATAGAACTTATTAACCAGCGTTACAAACACAAAACATACTGTGACAGTGGCTACCTCAGTATTTGAACAAATCCCTGACATGCTGAGCTAATGCTTGTTTTTTTGAAAATCGACCACTTACACCAGGCAATGGAATTTGGGGAGGAACTCAATGTGGCATGAAATGCTAATTTTGCAAAATAAGAGTACTCTCTCCCCACTGATTCCTAAGTTCTATATGACCTTCCATACAAGTATGGGGATTCTACTTTCACACCCAAAACTGCAATTTGAAAGTTTGTTTTATTAAAGAAAATGTTACTATATTAGGGAAAAAAGTCAGCAATAACCTGTGTTACAGTTTCTGTGAGAGTTTCTTGACACTATAAATATACAGATTATATAGAAAAATGAATATATTTCACTTAAAAGCTAAGAGTTACTGTCCTACAATTCTTGCCAGTAAAATTAAGAAAAACATGATAAATTGAGCCCTGTTTCTGATATAAAACTTAGCTCACAAGTACAGATGGATGAGCCCAATCAATATTTTCTTTAAAAAGAAAAATGTGTGTGGTTGGCATTCTCTTCCATGCTTCTATTCATATTAATATAATTTTCCAGGTTTTTAAAATTTATAAACAGAAAACTTTAAGCTATAAGAACTACACTGTCACTGAGGTTTTGTTGCAGCTTGTGAATTGGTTCTCTCTTTACAGCTCTGTAGTCTACATGGTTCAATACAAGTGAGGAGGAGGAGGAGGTCCCGGCAGAAATAGGTCTCTCCATCTCACACTTAGGAGTTGGAGAAAATCTCAAAATCAGGTTATAATTAGTTACACACTAATAATGACCAAATCTGCTCTATACACACGTACACTTGTCATTCGATACGAACATAATACATCTTTTGTTATACCAGTAGCAGTTATCTCTTAAAAACAAAGTTCTCAAATGTTCCAGGTTTACGTAATTCTGCGAGAGAGTTCTGGAATGGTGTACTGGTATGTTCCCCCACAAAAATAGCCCTGGGTAATAAAGCAGTAGGGCAAAGGGAATGTTTAACCATAGACAGCAATTTGGAGATGATGCGGTGGTGGTGGTAAGGACTTTAGTTTTGTTACTGGAGAAAAATGTATTAGAATAAAACAAATAAGAACAAAATCTCAGAATAACTAGATAATCTAGATCAGGTTTTCTCAACTTGTTGGGAATATTAATCCTACAAGAAAAATATTCTGAGGTCCAATAAGGAATATGTCACACATCTCATCCTTCTCTGGGTCATTTAAAGGGAAATGTGTGAACATCTTGTATGAACTAAAGAAAACCTACTTAGCCCAGCCACTTCCTAAACCTATTTTACTACAGACAGAGAAGCTGTTTGATGTGCTGGCTGTCTGGGGATATGCAGTGGAAAATGAAATCCAGCCTGGGCTCCCCTCACCAATGGGCTCAAAGGGCATCTTTCTCCAAGTTGAACCATCCTCTTGCCTACCGGGGCTGCACACTTCTGGAGAGGCCCTTCACCAGTTACAAAATTGGCCTAGTTACAGTCCTCCTATGGAACCTCCTTTCTGAGCGACACCTACATACACATATCTATTATACATAAATATATATGTATCTATCAATCAATAAATTAATCATGAGAGGTCATTTTGTGGCAGAACTAGAGCCAAAACTCAGATCTCTGGGACATCTGGCTCTGTGCTTTTTAGGCATTGTTTATATTCACAGTTCTTTTTATTTTTAAATAGTTTATCATAAACTATCTGCTCATTACTCTTTAAAAGAAGTGATCCCACTGTCTCCCCTCCTCTCCAGTCAAATAGAAAGCAAGTGGGATACAAATGGAGAATGACTAATGTGCTGGCGTGTGGGGATTCCCATTTGGTTTTAACTCTAAAAGTAAAGTACAGTAATGCTTCATTTATCTAGAAGTCACTTATTTGTGTATTTGCTTACTGTCTCTCTCCCTCATGAGAAATTCACATCCCCAACATAAAGAAGGGTAAGCGAGGAGTTCAATAAGCACTTGTGGCACAAGTGAATGAAATTTTACAATGTTCTGGCTGTGACTTTGAACCCCACACTCTAAATACAACTAAAAGAACTTGTTTCTAAGTTTACAACATAATAAATTATGTTAATAAACTAGAAAAGGGGAAAGACCGCTAGAGGCGACACAGCGACACCACAAGTGACAGCTGGCATTCTTGTACTAAGAGAAAGGCTGCTGAATCCGCTATGGGGTAAAAATCCAGCACACAACTACGCTGAAGGCGATTTGGAAATATCCATGAAACTCACAGATATATACATACCCCTACATCTAGGAAGTTATCTACAGATAGTCTCACTCATGAATGGAAGAACTTAAAAGGATGTATAAAGACACTCTTGGAATCACATAGTATAACACCAAATGATTGGAAAAGACAATGTATCAAAAAAAAAAAAACTGGTTACATAAATTGTGTGTTGTGTGTGTGTATGTGCAAAATTCATAAGGAATATGGAGTGGCTGTTAAAAGGAAGAGTTTTATGATCTAAATAGAATGTTCCCCAAGAGCAAAATGTATACTATATATTCCCTGTGCCATTCTTATCTAAAAGAACATGTGAATGTAAACTGTCCCTGAAAGGATACCCAAGAAAAGAATAATTTGGTTGACTGTGGGAAGGAGAACAAGGTAGAAAGGAGATTATCTAGGCACATATGTCCTTTGTACTTTTTCATTTTTGTGAAAGAATATCCAGAAAGAAGATAGAATAAAAGAGCAATGTGAGGAAATTTTTTTTTTATGAAATAGCCTCCCCTACTACATTAAACCACACTGAAGGTTATCTATGGCAGGACAAAACAGTCATATTTATAATTCTGAAACATTAAAAAGGTTAATTTCTAGTACATGCGTTCCTAAGTAGAATATATGAGCTAAATAATGGTTAAAACTTACAAAATAATATAAGTAATGTTATCACATTACTGAAAATTTGGAGAATAAAGATTGAGAGAGGAATATGTATATCACTCATAATCTTAGCATAGTAGAATTACCACTTAATCCATTGGTATAATGTTTCCTACCAGTATTTGTTCTCATTTCTATTGTGAAAAATCATGGCAAAAGTCATTTTAATAAAATCAACTTAACTGTAATACTTCTCGGTCCTGTTAAAATAAGCACTATAAGCTAATGGGGGAGGTATCAAGAGATCTTAAGTTTAATTACAATTTGTTCTCAAAATCTCCAAATGACTCTGATCAAGTGCTTTTTCCCATCAGCGAGCTGTTCTCCAGCTCAGCAAGGGCAGCAGAGCTTGCCCTGAATGCCTC